CCGCAGGTGGGGGGGTAAGAAGGCACGTGGGGGGGGGGGGGCGGGAGGGAAGTCTGTGTCCCCTTTATCACCCCATGTCCCGGTGACACCCCGTGTCCCCTGGATTAAAAATCTCTGCACCTTCTGCAAGATGTGCCCAGGATTACTGCAAATGGCAGGGAAGTGCTTTGCTCCAGATACTAAGCCTGTGCCTTTGAAAGCCCTCAGCATGCTCTGTCTTTGCTCTTTTCTTTACTCTTCCTCACTGCTGCTGCTCTCTGACCTCTCCATCGTTTTTTTTCGTCGCTTCATGAAAGAGCGGCGCTGAAGACAGGCGAGGAAGTGGCTGTAGTAACCCTGACAAATTGGCATCTGGACTTAATGATTGCAGCAACTGAAATTCCTGCTCAACTGTTACTGCTGTTGTTTGGTTTGTGGGGGTTTTTTTAACACAAGAAGCTTGTGCTGAAAAAAATTGCTAAAGGTTGTTTGAAGGCCAGCAGGCTGGTTCTGGTGATCCTTGCACAGCAGAGATCGTAGAACCTCGCGTGGGAGGGGCTTTGTGAACCCCTGTGTGCCTTACAGGGAAGGGACTTGAATGTCAATGTGATGCAAGTATTTAAATCAGTTAAGTGCTTTGGCAGACCTGTCCCCTTTCCTTCGAGACTGGAATTTAGGTACTCAGCTGTCCCTTTCAGCGCCTGCTCCAGAATTAATGTGACTGTTCTTGCACTAGCAGAGGGAAGTAAGAAATTTGGTTTCCTTGTCGTGTGAGTCTAACTTAGCTGTAATGCTCTAGCCAGGCCGAGCAATGTGGTTTAGGGTGCCGCCTTGTTTATGCTTGTACGAGGTGTTTGCGTTCCAGCTTTACCTCTGCAGGGTAAATGAAATGTCGTCCCTCTCAGGTTTGTCCAGCCGACGAGCGAGTGGGGGACGAGCCCTGGCTGTTTGTGAATTCCAGGCTGGTGGTGAGGGAAGAGGCAGGTTATTGTGCAGAGTAAATCTGTCACCACCCTGGCGCTAGCGGTTCTTGTTGAAGCGGAGCTAGCTGCAAACAATCCCTGGAGTATCCCAAACAGAAGAAACGAGGGAAAGAAATAACCAGTTAAAGCTCAAGATCTCGTTTGTTGGGGCAGGTACCCTAGAACCATCCCTCCAGCTTTTGCTGCTGCCATCCCCCAGTCCAGGCTGGTTTGGGCACTTTGTTTTCATTTCAGGAATCCCTTAAAGCAAGGAGCATCTAGCAGAGAGGTGGGTGACCTTTTGGATGCTGGGCTGGATTTCTCTTATCCAAAATGAGGGCTAAGCACGCCGGCAGCAGTTCTGACTCAGACCCACGCGCGCAGCCTGCCATCTGAAGCCGCTGTGCCATCCTTGACGTGTGCCGCTGCTTGCTGCCTCATCTAACGTATTGCAAGAGCAGAGCGATGATTTGAGTCAGGATGCTTTTCCTCTACTGGTAATGAGCCCATTTATTAGAGGTGTGGCAGAATTTTTGGCTGAGAGAAGGGTCATTTTTTTATACAATCTGAGGGCCTGGCAGTGTGTGTCAGTGGGGGATATCACAGCATCTTGCAGGAGGAAGACAGTCCCAAACCCTTGCTCAGGTGTGATTTGAGTGATTCCCTGCTTATCTCCGCATTTCCAACTGAATCTAGCAGTGGTTCCTAAACACTTGGAACTGCAGATTACTGCAAAGATAAAAATGTATTGGTACATCTCCGTGGACCTTACTGAAATTGTATCCCAAGTTAACCCTCGGGGTTATGTTGTTCTTTGCGCATGCTGTGGGGAGCAGTGGAGTGCGGGACTCTGCTGTCACACAGCGTCTGATGTTGCCCCGGTTCACAACTTGCACTTTTTAAATTTGATTTAATGTTAAATAGCTGCCAGATGTCTCCCAAGAGGCAGCTTCTGTCCGGCATTGTTTTAAGTGGCACAGCAGTGATAAAGCCTAGATTTTACAAAGTTTTGTCAATAGATTCTGAAGGCAGGTGGTGTTTTGTCTCCTCTTTACTACCACAAAGAGTGGGGTCCCAGAGGAGCAATAGCTCTGAATTGAAGAGCGAACTGGGAATGGCGCAAGGGGCTCTTCAGGCTGATCAGGTGCTTGGGACGCTGGGCTTGTTTGCTGCTCGGTTTCTGCAGCGCCTTGGAGCGCTTGCCATCTTCCGCCTTAAAAGATCACCGTCTGAAAAAGAGCCTCATAATATGCTCTCCGAAAAGGTTGAGGCTGGTTCAGACAAATGGGGTTGTGGGCTGTGTTGCATCAGGAATACACATGCCCCTTCCCTCTCCCCACACAAATGATGAGATCTTCCAGTTCAGTGCCTCTGCGAGGTAGAATACCCCCAACTCCAAGAAGAGTGTGCTGTTACCCGTGTGAATAGCAGATCGGGACCTTAGTAAGTAGCACCTTGTCCTGCGTGCTAAGGTGTGGCTCTGATTTTACCTCTGTGTTACAGAATGTTTGCTGTAGGGACGCTTGTGTGGCCAGAAGTGATTCATTTGTACTCCTTCCTTTTAGCAATCCATGAACTCAAGTACGACAGCACTGCCTACCGACCTGCCAAGCTTCAACCTCATCAGCGAGAGCTTGTCTTTTGACTTCAAGGATACGGACATGAAGCGCCTTTCGATGGAAATCGAGAAAGAGAAGTATGTGGCGCGCATCCAGCCTGGGCCAGGGCTGGGGTTTGCGCCTTGGTTGCAGCGGGAGGAATTGCAGCAGGGCTGAACGTGACTTTTCCCTTCCAGCAGCGATGTGAGGTGAAAGGGGGAGAAGTCTTTTGGGAATTCACATTTACCAGGTCACCAGTAGCTCTGCCCAGAGTGTGACGTAGCTGCTGGCTGACCGTTCCTCTGGGTGAGGACCCGGTGCCACAGACGCATCCCTGCTGCCCGCTTAAAGGCGAGTTTAAGTGCGCTGAGCCCTGCACCAGTCGGTTCCTCTCCGTTTGGTTAACCTGGCTCTTGTTTAGGCTTGAATTGTCCGTGTTGGTAGAAAGAGTTAGCAGCAGCCTGACTGCTGGTGCACTGAACTATTGCAGGCTGGTGCTGGTGCATTTGCAGTGGGTCCAGGGAATGTAAAGACAGCTGGAGTCTGTGCTAAGGTCCCACCTTAGGGCTTTAACCACTTTTTCTTGGAATCTGTGTCATGTTTATATATAAAAAGTGTGCGCAAGCAAGTTTGGATGTGATTATGAGCTTTGATCTTGTGTTTTCCTGAGGGTGTAAGTGTAGCCTTCAAAATTACAAATTTAGCAGAAATCAAAGCAGATCAGATTTTAATCTCTGTAGCAATAATGTGCTTTGTTCATTGACTGGGTAGTAGATCAAAGCTAGAAGGGCTCTGCCATAGCGCTCCGGCCAAAACTTCCTGGGGCTGGAACGAAATGGCCCTGGATCCCAGAGGGTGGTTTATTTTGCCCTCTGCTCGGTATCCTCTCCCGTGTATGAAATAACAGACCGCTATGCTAGAGACAGAGGTTAAAACCTTTTCCTAAAGCCAGAAAGAAAAAGATAGAAGCCGAAAATAACAGGATAATTCCTGGTTCTGTACCCAGGTTGCTAACTAGGTCATCCTACTCTCCGAAAGCAGGAAGAGCTTCTGCCAAATGCCGAAAGCAATAGCATGCTTTCGCTGACTTCTCCGGGACTGTTCTCCTTCCTCGGGTACTGAGATAAGCCCTGCTTGCTGATTTTGGCACTCTGAAAAGGCTCTTGTTAGTCTGCTGGTACTTTGACCTGGGTCTTGGTGTTTAATCACAAGTACAAGGCGGGCATGCTGTGATTTTTTTCTCCAGTCAATGCTTCATCGTGGAAGGCAGTTAGGGCCAGGTCCTGAGAATGGCTGGGGTTTTGGATTGTTTTTTTCTTTCTTTTTTGGGGAGGCTTTTCTCTCTTCCAGGGATTCTGTGTGTCTAAAAGATACCTGATATTTTGGGGGCAGAGCTTGCTCCCACACGATTTACAAGCTAAATCCCCCTAAAACATGAGAAGTCAGTACATCAGGGTCCTTCCTTCCTGGAAGGATTCGTGCCTTTGAGTTTGTGAGCTGGGTTTGAGAGGGAGAGCAGTGCAGTAGAGCAGCGCTGCTTAAACCACTATCTTGTAGACTGAAACTGCGTAATATTAACCTATGTCATGGTGCAGCTTCACAGGGAAATGGGAAGATTTACAAATATCATCCAGCAGCTCCGGCTTGGCTTTCTATTTTTTATAGTAACATAACTTACAGTTTTGTTCTTGGGTCAGCTCTCTGGGTCCTCTTTTTAATAAGGAACAAATCATTGCTCGGAGTGGTTTACTGTGTGCTGTAAACTAATGTTGTCAGTTCCATGCACTAGAAATGATCAAGATAAGGTTTTTCTGTTACAATTCTGTTATCGGCTGCCGCGGTATCATGTCAACCACGTGCAGCTGGCCAGTACTAACCCAGGGCTTTTTTGTGTGTGCTAGGGTAGAGTACATGGAGAAAAGCAAGCACCTGCAGGAGCAGCTGAACGAGCTGAAGACAGAAATCGAGGCACTGAAGCTAAAGGAGAGGGAGACAGCTCTGGATATATTGCACAACGAGAATGCCAGCCGAGGCAACAGCAAGCACAACACTATTAAAAAGGTATCGGAGGGCTCCAGTTTGTATCTCGCCTGATGAAATCCTTTAAAAACAACAAAATAACCCTTCCGTTTGGTTTAGCTTTTGCACAAGTTGTTATAATAAAATTGTTTGATCTAGGCTTTCTTCCCTGGCTGCTTGGCTTTGAACCAGGGTGCAGAGAATTTCAGCTTCGGGTGGCTCCTAGTTTATTTTTGCCACAACCAAGCCTTGTCTTTTCAGCGCTGTGGGAAGGGACGCAAAGGTCTGGAGGTTTGAATGTCTTGCTGAACCTTAACAAAAGCTGTTCAGAGATGCTGTTAGAAGGGTTCTGCTACCCTAGTGACCCCGGGAACAGGAGAAGCCTTACCTGTCTATAGAAACCATTCCCTACAGGCATTGCAAGGAAGCAGCCTTGAGCTTGGCTGGTGAATAATAAGGGCAAAAATACTCCTGACTTACGGGCTTTCAAGTAGAAAAAGCCAAAAACCTCATCCTCTCTCTCAATCTGTTCTCGAGTAACCTGTAGTGCAGCTTCAAATACTAACAGCAAAATCTTTCGCTAGCAGGGTTTCTGGGAGGTGTCTGCTCCCTGTGCTGTGGGCCCTGGAACTGCCTGCCTCTAGAAATGCGGTTGAGATGAATAACTTAGCCAAAAAGTTGGGATGGCTGGGTCTGCTAGCCCAGGAGTCACACCTGGAAGGTCACAGCAAAGCCCGTTCTTTATTTTTACATCCAGTCCTTTTGCTTTTGCTTAGTAGCTCAGTTGTTCTCCCAGCTGGGCTCAGTGTAACAAGGGGCTTGGGGCCATAACGAGTACGGTGGGATGTCGTGGTCAGCCCCATGCACCTGCAAAGGTTTTACCCAGCTGGCTTTCTGCTAGCAGCTGTCCTTGCGAAGGATTCAGAAATCTATGTTGGCACGGGCTGCAGGTTGTGGTAACAACTTCAGGTTTTAAAAACAAATCCTTCTCTCTATACTACTCCGTGCTGAGAGTTACATCTGGAAGGATTTGAAAATACCAGTTACATGGCTGGGAGTTTATGATCACTGAATTGGGGCAGGAAAATGAATCTAACAGGTCTCACTTCCTGGTTTTTCTGTGCTAGCCCTGAGCTGTTCGGGTTCTGTCCCGCCAGAGCGGAGAATACAAAAATCTTCACAGACCTTTTTGTCATTGTAGAGTCTGAAGACATTTCTGGTCCCGGTAGGTTTTGTCTCCCTGTTTAGAGTCCTTGGTTTAAACAGAAAAAGCTAAATTTTCACTTCTGACAGAAACAAGTTCATAGGGAGCTGATGGTCCCATTTGTCTCACTTAAAGAAGGTGGCTGGGCAAGCATTTCGACGTCTGGCAGGGCTCAGCGCCGTAATTGGGACTGTGCGGTCAGTCTTCGTTCCTTTGAACCTGGAGTCTTGTCTTGTCCCCTCCCTTCAGGAGGGGACCGAGGCTGCCCGGCTCCTGCATCTCAGCCGGAGGAGCAAAGGTTTTTAAATAATAGTCTATTTGTGGAGCGCATTCAAATAAAATTACAGTCTGCTTTTGTTTGTGCCACCAGGAGGGCTTTTGTCTTTGCAGTTGTTGATGGAAAGGAAAAGGCAAGACTCTGGAAATGGGATAGCAGTTTAGCAACACTTAAATAATACAAACCCTGTGCCCCACCTGGAAGTCGCTGATCACTTCAGTGCTGCAGGCAAACTGCACAGATTGCACAAATGACCTGACATTACTCTTATCACAGAGGATTTTTTTTGTTGTTCATTTTATTTTGCTGGTTTAGCCTCAAGCCCAGGGCAGAAGACCTATCTGCATTTGAGACTTCAAAGTAGGTTATTCCCAGGTACTCTGCGTGGGGTGATGGGATCACCGGCTGTAATACTAACCCGTGCATGAGCTTGCCTGCGATATGCACCGCTCTAGCCAGCTCCCGTTGCTGCCACCCCTGCAACGCTCCTTACACGCCGGGGTGCGATGCCGGTGAGACCGGGCTTGCCGCGGCACAGCACCTTGCCCATCCCCGCGGTGGACCCGTGCAGCATGTCGCAGGCAGCCGCCCTGCCCGGCTCTCGCTCCCTCGGTAGCATTCACGGTCTCTCAGCACTCGTTTTTGCACCTGATCCTCCGTGCTGGGAAGCATCTTTCTTGGCAGAAGTTGAGTTGGCAACATCAGTGGGGGAGTGCAGGCGTAGATGCTTAAATAATTAAACATGCCTGTTTTTGCTGTGGTGCCAGTGGCTGGGAATCTATTGGAGGTGCAGAGTGGCCTTTGAAGATTTCTTTAATGAAGTAAACCGGGACCTTCCCCCTTGTTTGCTGCAGAAAGAAATTCAGAATTTAAAAAACAAACAAACAACAAACAAACCAACCCCATCAATTCTTTGCTGCCAAAACTGTCTAACAGATTTAAAATGCACACCTCTGTCTTGGAGCGGAGCAGCACGTGGACGCGTTACCAGGGTCTGCCTGTTTGAGACATATCACAGGAACGTAAAGCGGAGGGTTGAGGACAGCTGGTGGCTGCAGAGCTCTTGGGCGAGGCTGCAGCTGGGGATGGTGCAGGGAGACTGAGCTGGAGGTAGCGCTGATGGTCGCCGTCGCGCCTGGGGACATGGGCTGTCAGAGCCGCTCTCCTTCCTGCCTGCGATGCCTCTGCCTGTCCCCTGCCTCCCTCGGCGCGCCGGTGACTCCTGCTCTGTTAACGCCAACGTCTCTTCTTTCCAGAGCCTGTTTCCTCTGAGGGTTTGCCCTCGGTCCACAGGCTGTGTGTGTACAGAGCATCGACTCCCTCCTTCGGGAGGATGATTTTGGGGAAGCTTTTTTGCTCTTTGCTCGACCGTGGTTCTTGCTCAACCCCCTGGGCGTGCGAGTTTTGAGTAGGTAGCGCTAAGGGAAGAAGCAGCAGGGCTGCTGCGGTAGCAGCGCTCGTGAAACCCGGGGGCAAGCGCCTTTTGGAAAAGGCTTTTTGCTACAAGTTAGTGCGAGGGCTTGCACAGCCCTGCCTGTGTGGCGGGCATGGACAGCCGACCGTGGAGCAATTTCTCAGCACCTCTGGAGCGCTATAGCGAAGGCAGGAGGATGCTGTAGGTGCAGACTTCTCCCTGGCTTGGCGCCCAGAAGCGATGAGCGCAGGTTTGTGCTGTTTTTGAATGGACCAGCCCTTTCAGGGCTGCAGGCAGTGCTGTAAATCGTGCAAGTCAGGGTTTTGTGCTGGCTGGCTGCTGCCACCCCTGGCTGTCGGCGCCCAGCCGCTCTCCAGGGGCTGCGGGTATTCCCAAGACAGGCTGCTCTCGTTCTTAGTCTCTTCCCCAAGGAAATGCTTAAAACAAGGGGCAACCCTGCAGGCCTGGCCCACCTTGGGGGAGGTGTTGTATGTCTCTCTGGGGCAGGCTGGCCGTGGTTGAAACCTGCTATACTGTCCTGACTGGCTTGAGGAACTCAGCGGCAGGTGAAATTGGGGCGAAATCTACTTGTGGCCACAGCACGAGGAGGTGAAATGAAGCCCTGGCAATTTGTGAAAAGACTAATCCAGCAGCTGGGAGAGATTCGGTCCCTGGGAGGAGCCCCCGTAATTAAACCAGATGCACAGCAAGTGCTGTGGTGTGACCTCTGGGTTTTGTTGCCTGCCTTTGAAGACGCCTGCTAAGTTTTTCATGTTTAATTACGTGGTTAACATGCTAATCCTTCTTTATGGGCTCTGTGGGCACAGCACAAGTACCTCATCTGGAAACTGATTTCCCTTCTCCGTAGCATGCTCTGCCACGGGCTGGCGCTGCCAACTCCAGCTGGCTCGGCTTCGGGAGTGTTTGCCGCTGAGGCTGTGGTACAAGGTGAAAAAACCCACTTCGTCCTCGCATCCTCCCATGTAGAAAGGCTCCCAGGCCAGGCTGCTGCTCTAAAACACCATCGGGACGTTCACTCCGGTTGCTTTCTTCTTGCACAGTCGTGCCTATTTACTGGGATTTAAGCCCTTTGAAGTATCCAGGCAAGGAACAAATCTCCACGCCTGTTCCCAGACAAGCGGCTTTGTCCTTGAGCAGAGCTCTGGTCCTTCGACAGGCAGGCTTGGCCTTTCCCTGCCAGGCTCTCGGGGGACTCTCAGCTTTTTCTTGGATGCAGCATTTCTCCGGGGCTCAGGCGCTCTTGGTGCCTGCAGGGACTGGTGCGGACGCCGGTGGTGGGGTGAGCTGTTGCTGACGGCACTGGACTGCTCCTCTCCTGGTTGCAGTGCAGCATTGCCCTCAACTTGGGTCATGCAGGATTTTTTCCCTATCCTTGAGGCACTTTGGGTTTAGATAAGCTACTTCAAATCTGCTTATTTATCACCCGCAGACTAGTCGGGGCTTTCTTGTGTTGTTGGGCCAGGAAACCAGGGATGCAGCACCTTCTCGTTCGGGTTTAGGCAATGAGCAGCTCCTGGCTGCCAAGCACGGAGGGGCCTGCAGTGGACTTCTGCAGGCTTCTCTTCACTCCTCTCACCTTCAAGATGAAGGCTGTGGTCTGTCCTCTACAGCAGTGTGAGGACACTGGTGAGTTAGCGATGGGCACTGCCATCTGAGTCCCTCGTGATGCAGGTGCGAAGCTGCTGTGCCACCACCAAAGGTCATGAGGCTACTTAATCATCTGGACAGGCTGGAGGTTTTCAGGAGACTGTGCTGGGGCAGACGCCTTCTGTCTGTCTGCTTTCCAGCTGTGCCTGGCTAGTGTCTTGCTAGGGATCGCTGAACCGTGTCCCTCGAGGACTTCAACAAATCTTGTGGGGTCTCTGTCATCTCCTGGGGACTCCTTTCCTCGCCTCTCCCCTTCTGGGACCGGCAGACTCCCCTGCATGAAATGGGTCTGCTTTGTTCCACTGGTTTGCTGGGAAGATGGAGAACCATGGCCAGTTTGGGGACGGAGGATGTTATTGTGCCTCTGGAGCTTCATCCGGCAGAGGGAGGGGACCAGCAAAAGAAATACTTCTGCTCTGGGAAGGGCAGGAGCCTGGGTGGCACGGAGCAGGCTCAGCTACACACAGGTGGGCCCATCCTTTCCTGTGGGTCCTGCAACAGCCCGGACACGGATGAGGTGCTCTTTAGTCTCCTGCAGAGCTGCAGCATTGCTGTGGCATCACTGTATAATTGGGTCCTGCAACAGCCCGGACACG